CTGAACAAATAAGTATCTCACGTACGTGGAGGTCAAGGGTGTTGGTCTGTGTGGAAACTAGTGGTCTAAGCGTATGGAAAACAAACGAACTGTCTGATACAGACAAGATAAGAAATTGTGATGGATAGTATAGGATCTGGACCAAACCAGATTAAAGGATTTTCTTGATGTGGCTAGCTGAATTTCCGCTTTAAACTGTCCCATTAAATCTAATAAGACCTTTCTGCCTTCGAATCAGTTCCATTTATTGGTACAAAATATACCTTTTATGCGATATCTGCTAATCATAACCAAAACCATACAGAAAAACTTGTTAGTTTATTGATAGGCCTAAACAGCCCATCTGGTTGGCTTGTATGGTTACGCCGGGACTAGTTCACTTGGCTCTGGTCGATTCAGACAAATGCTAACAGATAATTGGTTCATTGATGGTTTGACTGATTCCACTCTTGTCGACGGTTCTGATCAGCTGATCACGTGCTGTCTGCTTCACTCATAATTTCCATGTCCAATTTCGATAAATTTTTACAGAACGAGACCGAAACAAACCACCAGACGGCCATCATACATGGAGTCTTCATTGGTAACGGTGAAGTTGAACTGGCGCTGAGCAGGCTGAATAGTAACCAGGCTGCGGAACCGGACGGTGTTCACCCTGCATTTCTAAAAGCCCTTACCGCCATACTAAATGAACCGGTCAACACAGCTATTTAATGCATCTCTAGACAAGTGGGAACTACCGGCTGCTTGGCGATTAGTTCTAATTTCCCCCATCCGCGAAGAGGCAAACGGTAGGTGGCTCCAAACTACCGTCTCGTAAGCATACTAGTAACCGTACTTAAAGTACTATAGGGACGGGTCAGATATCGACCACTCGAGCATCTACTGAACCACCAATTGATTACCAACCAGCAACACGGGTTCGTTGAGGGAAGATCCTGTCTGCACAATCTACTGTCATTTTCTGATGAGATTACTAGCAGACTAGACCAAGGGGAATGAGTGGAGGTATGTTACTTGGACTCTCAAAATGCCTGTAACTCGGTAAACCACCGTTTCTTTCTGGACAAAATGAAGGCAATTAGGATGGTTCTGCGGAGAGTGAGGTGGATGGAGGGTCACATAAGTAGCAGAGTTTTCTTTGTGCATATCGAGAACATTACGTCCACACCGGCCCAGGCATGCAATGGTGTGTCACAAGGCTTAGCCCTGGAACCACCTTTGTTCCTCGAATTTGTGAATTGTATGGTAACCACAGATGATATCAAATTATTTGGACAGCCGTCCTCAAGTCAACTACAGGCCGACTTAAACAGGATTACAGCATGGGCAAAAAAAGTGGGAGTTACCGTCAAATGCAGTTAAACGCAAACGTTTGCTGCCAGGTAGGGGAAGCAACGACGACAGGTGCGTAGGATTGTCCGTCCTGGTAAGAATTGAGTCAGCCGCTATTGTTAGAGACTTAGGTGTGCATGTGCACGAGAACGTCATACCTGTTGAGCAGTGTACATCAGTAGCTATTAAAGCAAACAGGATACGGTTTCACTCCAAAAGGACGATGGCGTCTATGGAATCTGACTTAATTCTGCATATATATATATATATATATATATATATATATATATATATATATATATATATATATATATATAAAGATTTCTGAAAAGCCTCAAATAGAGCTTTTCATATAGGCATAGGCGTTGAAAGACGTTCAAAGGAGGCTCCCTAGAATGACAAGGGAAGTCGTACCAGGAAAGACTAAAAGCCCTAAATTTTTTCTCCCTTAATCTTCGTAGGCTAAGGGGAAACCTCATAGTGAGTTACAAGCTATTTAAGAGAATTACCACAGCCGATAGACTATTGCGGACTCATTGACACAACCTTACACTCAGAGGACACGAGAATAAACTGAATAAATCAAGGACAAACAACAGCGTTAGAGCATGTTTCTTTTCTCACTGAATCAGAATTCAGTGAAACAATTTGCCTCCCCTCGTAGTGACAGCAACCTCGGTCGCTGCTCCCAAGCACAAACGGGATGCATGCTGGGCAGAGATATTCCCGGACTATGGCTAACCATTCTGAGTAGCTGCTCTTCTCTTCTGATTCTCTTGACTCTCACTACCTTATACTGCATTTCGCCACTCCAGTGCTTCTTTACTGAACCTGCCTCTGTTCGCAACCTCCATATCACCCTTCTCATCATCGCCTTATACCAACATGTTCCCATTATTCCAGGACTCGGGATTGTGTCTCACATGGGGCCAGAAATAATTTGTGGCATTGCACATGTATTATTGCGAAGTTGCTGTTCTCGAGAACGAACCGTATTCCTTTCTCTCCCCTTGGCTGCTACAAAAATACCGAACTTTACTGGATACCTGGAAGTCGCAGTAGGGTGAAAACCCCTGGAGCTTGCAGCGTAGGAAGCTGGAAGCTTACTGCCTCAAGCCGCAAGTCCTGTTACCTGAGGAGACCCGACAGCACTCCCATCTATTCCACATCTTTCTCGGTTTTCCAAAGGCTTCACCTCTAATTTGCTTCCTTGGTCCCTACCAGTAACTGGTTTTCCCTGAAAAGCATCCAGAAACATTCGTTCACATTTTTATTTCATGTTTACAGGGTTCTGTACAGGGTGAGTTTACAGCAGTGCAATAAATGTTAGACCCGTCTAAGCCCATTTAAACCACATTCTGCACCGGACTACCTCTGTGCTTGTCAATAGGCAAATTATGGCAAAATCCATCTGGGATTTGAGCGTCCGTCTGACTGTCTAGTATGTGCATATTGACAAAATCCCCGCCAGTAAAAGTTGCGGTGAAACCGAGATTATCAACGGATAGAAGGCAATGTGTAATCAACTACTCTGAGGTCCACAAGGTTACGAAGCCAGTGGTCCAGATTGCTTTCCGACAGTCTTATTGCATGCGGTAACAAGTTGATGTTATTAATACCAGTTCCTTTTGAATATATCGGACAATTAGAAGGTTGGATCTGTCGCACCAGTGATAGAATGAAAAGTACAATCCGTATGGTGCATACCAAATTTCTTGAACGTATGTGAAATCTTACTGCAAAAGATCCCTGATGCAAGTCATTATGATCATTACGACTCACACAGCAGATCAGATACTGTAACCTCTCTAACGCCATTGGGAACCGTGCAGTGTTATGATGTGTTCGGTGGTAAGCTGATGGATTCAGCCTTATCGAGCTGTTAAATAGAGACAGAGGATGGTTATTTTTGTCCGTTCTGGCGGAATACAAAGTAACTGCAATTAGTATGTGCACGATTATTTGCGCGCATAGTAAAACACTTAGCATACATCGTGTTACTTCTTTACTAGAGTCAGCCAAAGCGGGCAGTTGGTCAGCAGCGTCGATATTCATACAGCTGACTTAAAGCTCAGTAATCCAGTATCAACGACCAGCTCACCTTTGAAAACAATGGAAGTACTGTATAGCTGTACAGCCGGTGACGGACAGGAGCTATATCACGAACTGTTCATATTGAACGAATCTTTGAAAGTCAGTCCGGATTACCTGGTGGTCAGGTATTCCACTCACAGTCATCCACCCCGGATTCCAGTCCCAATAGGGTTCCGTGGATGTACACTGCTAATGATATCTAACAAGGATGAGATCGCTATACTTGCTTCCACGGACTTCAGAGGTGAGCTCATGTTTCCTAATAGTTGTATAAAAGACAACATGTGTAATAAAAACAGGCCCACATTTGTGGAAAGTGAAAGTTACTGGATTAGTTAAAACTATTGTACGACAACACGCTCCGTGATTTCTGTGTCATCTTGACCCTCGTAGTTGGAGCATAACCAAAGAGAGTAGCCAGAAACTAATGAAAGGCAAATAAGATTTGCGCAGTGAGGACTTGTGGTGGGCAATATAAATATAATGGAAACGAAAAGATAATAGGGATATCAAAAACCCAGTAAAAATCCAGCTGAAGGATAAAACACAATCTTCTCCTTAAGTTCTATTTCACTCATGGTTATTTTAGGTCCTTTACCCGCGGGGAACCGGGAACGAAATATCTGTCGTTCACTGACTTGTACTTTCTGCGTCTCTTGGTCTACTTCTGTTTCATGTGCTGGGTAACTATTTACTTTATTTATCTATCATCATCCACGGGCAGTGGTGTTCAAAGGGTCATCATCGCGGGTTTTTCGTCTTCATAGCCCAGGTTCGAGACCTGCCACTACCGGTCATTTCCCCATTCGGCAGCTTTTCATTGGCCTTGGCTACCTTCCAAAGCAGATTACTCTATCTAAGACAGCTCGCACAATGCCCATGTGTATCTCAGCGTTTCCCTTTGTCATTTTCATCACGAATGGTGATAGTGAGCGTGTAACTAAATTATGGTCATTTAGGCTCGTAAGTTCAAAACAGTGCTATATTTTGAAAAGGGTTTGCAATGATGTATATATTTTTCCTCTTAATCAGATATGCGGTACAAAAAATTGAATAAAATTTTAGTAACAAACTCGATGAGAATGATCGACTCCACGTTTCTGTGCACGCACACGCAGTATGAGCAAGAGCAACCCACATCAGATGTCTCGTATTACTCAGTCTCAATAAAGCGCAGGGTTAATCGATCAAGGGCTTATTTTGTTAAACACCTTGTGTGCTTATTTTATTGTGCTCAATAGCCTAACACACGTCTGATTGCTGTCGATTGTCTTTGGTCGATACCAAATACGCCCCCATCAAAAGTGCTGTCATAGACTGCAAAAGTGCCGATAACATTCTTTCTCCTAAACTCGTCAGCCAGTTTCCATGCATGAAGAATACGTTATTATTCATTCTTCTTCGTCACGTGTTCTTTCTATCTGCCTTCATCGTCGCGATTCTGTTACTTTTTTCTATCCATGATACTACAGAGCCACTGTTATTTAAGCCCATTTTGCACATACATACATTCATATTGGGTCTTACTGGAAGAGGACGAAAGAGAGAACTCATAAGAATACCGCGTACGAATGGCCTCAATTGGTATAGATTTGGGCACGACCAACTGTTGCGTATGTGTGATAAAAAATGGCAAACCTCAAGTGGTTACGAACGATCAAGGTCAACGTACCACACCGAGTTTTGTTGCATTCACAGAGCACGAACTTCTTGTGGGACAGGCTGCAGTGGATCAAGTTCTATCAAACCCAACAAACACCGTATGCGATGTGAAGCGTATAATCGGACAGAAATTCTCTGATCCCGAACTGGAGAAAAACAGAAAAATGTGGGCCTTTCATGTGGAACAGGAGAATGATCTACCAAAAATATCAGTCCGATATCACGGCCAAGAAAATCGCTTTTCACCGGAAGAAATCACGGCATTCTTGTTAAATTATCTACGAGAACAAGCAGAGATTCGTCTGGGCAAAATGGTAAACCAAGCTGTTATAACTGTTCCGGCTTATTTCCAACACTCTCAAAGACAAGCGACCATGTTAGCTGCGGAACTGATTGGGTTAAAGGTCGCACAGTTGGTGAATGAACCGACTGCGGCTGCCATTGCGTTTACGCAAAAACAGAAGTTGAAAATACCCCGCACCTTTCTTGTCTATGACCTGGGTGGAGGTACGTTTGATGCGGCTGTGGTGAGAATTCTGGAGCAAAATATGGGAGAAGTTTTGTGTGTTTCTGGTGACTCTCATTTAGGTGGGGAAGATTTTGTCCAAAATATGGTCACTCATTTCAAAACCGTTCTCATGGACCGTTTCAAAATTCTGTTAGATAGAGAAAAGTGGTTACATGAGTTGCGTATTTTGTGTCAAACAATCAAACATGATCTGAGTTTTGAGAAGTCGACAAAGTGCGGATTGTACATTCAAGGCATTCCTTATGCGCTTGAAATGAGTAGAGAGGAATTTGAAAAACTAAACGAGCACTTATTTCGTCGAACAATCCAAGTTGTTGAGGCAATGTTACAAACGCGATCAATTAGAAAAGAAGACATCAATGAAATACTTCTAATCGGCGGTTCTACACGAATTCCACGAATTCAACAGCTTTTGTTAGAATGTTTCCCACATATAAAGAATTTGAGCAAATCAATCAATCCGGATGAGGCCGTGGCAATGGGTGCTGCTATTTTGGCATCTATGCCCAAATTTGATGGGCGTATCACGTCGGATGTCGATTCTGCGGAACAAGCACAGGATTTAGTTATTCGGGATGTCCTGCCCCACTCTTTGGGTCTGCGGGAAAAGAATGATCACATGCGTATTTTCCTCCAAGCTGGGAGTTTTATACCGGTAGCACATGAGGAAGTAGCCACCACGACAGAGGATAATCAGCGCTCAATGAAAGTGTCCGTGTATCAAGGTGAAAATGAGGACACAAAAGAAAATATCTGTCTCGGTGAGTTTATCCTAAAAGGAATCCCACCAAAACCGAAACACGGCACCAACGTGAAAATATGTTTTGATGTGGATGAGAACGGCATACTAACTGTGACAGGGAAACATAGTGAGCAAGGGAATGATGAAGTTCAAGGTGAACTGCAGGTGAACATTTTGCACAGTCAATCGAGAACGCAAATTGATCAGATGAAAAATCGCGTACAGCAAGCTTTGGGTCAAACAAGAGAGTGCAATACGCAGTCATGAAGCACGTGAAATTTCTCATCACAGTGCACAAGTTGAGACCCGAATAAATGATCTGAAGAGAATAAAGTCAGATTCAGCTGATCACTTTGGTGTATGGTGATAAACAGACTGTGAACTGTCTTGTGCGGTAAGCTCACATCTATACAAACATATTTCTGTGTACATGATAAAATAAACCACTACACAACTATATCACGTGTTCTACGCACTATTTAGGTTCCTGTTTTCCTTTTAAACTCTTGTTTCGGTTAATTTCTGATTGAATTAGTTGTTCTCGGGATACTATCCGCAAAAACACAGAGTCACGTAATTGTGCCCAGGTGGGCTCGCACTGACAACCACAAGGGAAAACAATGGAACACAAAAAGAGCCGTAATTATGATTCTAGGTTTAGTCTAGCTGAATAGAACAAACAAGGATTAAGTGACAACCAGCACGCACTCCACCGCATAGGCGGTAACCTATTGGTTTCGGTGTTTAGCTGCCCATTATAGAACATCCTCAAAAAACTGGAGTGGATTCGTCCTCCTTTGGAACGGCCAGTATAGCACAGAGTTTAAAAGTGAGTTTTTATGGGCAGTGGTAGATTTGAATTTTATATGAAATGATTCAGCATGCCGTGTGAACGTTCAACCTAACATTAAAATCCATGAGAGCACCGTTCAGCTGCTTCACCCTAGTCGGGTATCATTAGTACCGCAAAACCACCGAGCTCTCGCAGCTTCGTAGCGCTTCCATAGTTTCTAAAGATGAGCTGAGCGTCGTTGTTACCGTAAAGACCATTTGGTAAGTTAATATCTCCAAATTAGTTCACCTCTATTGACAAGGGAAGCGGTCATATTAAAGAAGTTCACTGCTAGTTGAAGGTTTTGATTAAACCTATCCCTATGTTGTATATATTAGTTATCAATATTGTATACCCTCGTTTGACTATCGACACATGTTACTTGACATCACGAGAACGAGATTCTATTATCCAAATGATCAAACAGAACTACACTGTGGTTATCCGGAGGATAGAATCGCCTGCAATCCAGGCATGTAAAGCTGTTAGGACCATTGTGCAAAGAGGTGACTGAGTAGGTAGTGACAATCAGAGTGGTATGATTTCGATCATACCTACAAAGATAACAGCAACTGTGTAATGGATTTCACAAAAGGTAATGCATCGTTCGTAAAGAAGCGAATTACCGTTGTAAGCGGTTTCATTTCGCAAAACACCCTCTTAAATCGCAAGAACATGTTAGACTGAAAAGTGCCCTAGAATATCAGAGTGCCTACGTTATTGACCTTAAAACTGCTGGACTTGATCTTAGAAAATTATTTCCCAATCGGAAAATAAGTTTTTTGAAGTAGAGATTTATAATTTAATCTACCAAGATGCGTTCATCAGTGTGACCCAGTAACACAAGTACCTTTTATGCGACTAATCGGAATTTCCTCCATTTTCTATTCGCAGCGATATCAACACATTTGGAAGCCCATTAAAAGGGATTTCCTAAACCTTCATTATTCTTTCAATAAATACGCACATAAAGCTACTGGTAGTCAAGATCTTGGGTACTTTTACTACGATGTGAATAAAAGCTTTGCTGTGAATAGCCTCGAGTGCTTTTTAAAGCTTTATGTGACACACCTTCGCTGGTGGCCGTTTTGGGTCGACCGCACTTCATTTCGTTCTCAACCGATCCACATCCTTCGAATTTATTCATTGGCCTGCGTATGGCTGATGCAGCTGTCGACTTTCTCCCCGGATATTGTTGATTAAAAACCTTTGCCATTCCCTCCGCGTTCAGCTAGTTCTCGATATAGAGGCAGACCAACTGAATTCCCTCAATCTGGCTTAGTATGGCTGCAATCGAGAATGACCGATTTTCTTCATCATACTGACAATTTTGCAATTAATAACCCCATCGACAATCAACCTCGCATTATATCGCCACTGATCTTAGCTTGCGCACTCATGAGCACGCATACAAACGCACTCACTCTGTCACTTAGTTTACAATGAAGACCTGCCTGCGTCGTGATCTTTGCAACAGTCAGACCTTTAGCCACCGATGAAATGAACTCCAATACCGACCGCAGCGGAACACGTAAAGCCATGCACTTTAGCCGACTTGTTTACCGTCTGTGAATGGTGACTTTTCGAGCATCACATATGAAACAGGCTACTTACTGGCTTGGCATTTCTACTTCCATTTCATGCGGTATGCTTAACCCGTGTTATTATGTGCATTTCGTTGCTTCTATTAGTCTTTGAGTTTTATTTGAACTCATTATCTAACTTCGGTTTACGCTCCTTTACTGTTAGTCACAACACTTGCCCCAAAATCGTCTATTGCGCATCCGATTGATCGGTGTTTGAACAAAACCCCAGGTGATGCAGTGTATGCACAGAACATTTCCTAACTACCTGTGTGTAGAATATCAGTTACCCGGCATTTATTTGCCTACTAAGCAGTAGCATTAGCTAGTTTGAGAATTCAGTCCTCGTTCGGTGTTTACGAACTTTCTGAGCGTCACCCATGTCACAGACTGCAGTGTGTTCTTGAAAAACGGCTACAGCCCTGGAGCTTCGAATTTCTAATGTTACTACTGAGAATAGTAGCAGTAGTTAGATTTCAACATTTTCTGAATTATCGCCGGAAAATTTGCGCGGCACTGCCAGCTTAAGAAATCGGTGAACGACACCGGATTTTGCAAACTAAACATTCGAAGGTGCTTTTTTAACCCCTAAGTGATCGGACACCGCTTTCTACGCAAATCGAGTGAACCGTTGGTGGTAATTAAACGGACATGAAATCGTTCATTATGAATAAACGGGCCATGTTGGTCAGTTTAGTATGGCCTTGCATAGAAAATCCGAGTCGAATAGCAACTTATGTAGTATTGAACCAGCGGTAAGTCATCCACTTGGACAGTGTCTGTTGCTAACCGGTTTATGGTTCAATCTCGTATAATCACTTTGGTCTCCTGAATGTGAAGGACTTCAATGAATCTAGTTAAATTGGAATAACCAATAACGGTTATTGGATTGTGGCTGTTCTGGTTGCTACTTCTCAACAGCAGCCCAACTTAGAAATGAAAGTTGTCAATAGTATGGAAAAGTAGGAAGAGAAGTAAAAATAATCCCAGCATCATGATGATTAGGTTATGTGAATACAAATGCCTCACTTGTCATTATATGTAGTCGTATCTTCCTGCCTGCCTATGATCTCTGGTTGTAGGGATGTCGTGGAAGTCCGACTCAAGAAAATTAGTCAAATGCAATAGTCCGTCTCAACGTATTACACCCAACTTATGGACTGTCCACTTAATGGTGCTTACTCAAACAACGCTCATGTAGCTTTTGATAAGTGCAAAATGTGATAAAACTAATTTTTTCACCTCATCAACAACTGTAAGCTTTCTGGCACTAATTTCAATAAAGACCTTAAATAGGTATGATAACCACGTGATGTATTCGGCGCAAAAATATGACATGCAAAAACAGTGACAGACAGACACATACGCTCACAGGCGTACTCAGCGGAAGCTTGATCCGTACCCCTCACATACTTGAGCACACGCCTGAAACCGTACGGAAACAAACGTATGGTGTTGATGCTATTGACGAACCATCCGGCACGGTGTTGACCGATCAGATCAGTATCGAATGGCGTTGCTTAACCTCATCCTAATTTGCACTCGGTTTAAACTTCCGCTTGCATGTAATTCTGATTCATTTGCCTGCCTACTTGCTTAGTTTTCTATGTTCCCATTCCACGGACGAGTTTTGTTAACCTGCTAATAAATAAACGGAGTATCAGCGTTACTCGTATTGCTTGTATTTCAGAACAGAACTAGTGAAAACCCTCTTTTTATTTTGTTGCAAGTATTTGTTCTTCTGATCTGCTACCATAAATATGCTCTCTTCACGGAATGGTTATACCTAACTGTAATGTCCCTAGTACATGAAACTGAGGATCCACAGAAAATAACAACAATCTCTTACTTCCTTTTAACTATTACATTAAGGTGCACCGAGGGTCCAAAAAACATGAAATCACCCCCATGGGATTGAGGTTTCAAACTGACTACTGCGATATAACCTAGTAGCCAGATAAATTCTGAAAAACTGAATGGCCTGTAAGTGAGTGGGTGATAGCCGTGCTGCGTCCACACTGCCTTGTCTGAGCTTTTGTTCAAACACAATTTTTATCAAAAAATAATAGGGAGGAAAAATACCACGTTTATAGGGCTTTGAGAAATGGGAATTTTTGTGACAAGTAATGACATTTTGTGTTGATCAGTGTCAGCTGTAGGTAACTAATCAGTTCAATTAACAAATGAATGACTCTGAAGAAAAAAGAACACGCATGACGACACAAATTTGATATAACACGTGAAATGAAGGCAGAACTATCATTTTTGTATACCATTCCTTCCAAATCCACCGAAGTAAGACGACGAGATCTGTTATTTCGATGGCTGACATCACAAATGTGTGTTTCAAGTGCGTACGCTTCGCAACCTGAATTCAATGTGTTAGACTACATATTTCTACCGTATCCTAGAGGTGAGGTGGGATGACGTTTTGATATCAGATCGAAGGCTACCGAAAATGACGCTAACTCATACTTAATCCAGTATAGTAAAATCCCTTCTAGTTGTATTCAATACTGCAGACAGAAACTATAAAGTTTCTCACAATTCTGGAGATTTGGTTGTGTTTAACTGCTTTGTAATAACTTGTGGGGGAAACGCAGTGTAGCTTATAGTGCCGTGTAATTCATTGAATCTCCTGACGACTGGAGTAATTATTTTTTACTGGGTATCGGATTTATTCGAGTAAAAAATAGTGGAACCGAAGGGCCCGTTAACCGATGGATTCATACACGATTTTATTCCAAATTGATAAGGAAAACGAAGGTCACGTATATTGGGCTTTCAGATGTAGTGTTATCACTGCCAGTAGTAAACGGTGGTTTTAATCGATACTGGTATTTCCCCTGATA